AAATATATCGTCCCTTGAGCAGTTTAGTATGATGGAGCCCTGCTCAGTTGCTAGATCGACTATGGGCCTACCACTGTTGCACAGGGTGATGATTCGTTCCGCTTGACATTGTAGATTTGTGTCCACAAGCTCACAACTTGATAGTAGGTGCAGTGCTGTTTGCTCATCCGAGCCACAGATGCACAGCGGAGAGGCCGCTGCTCTGTCAACTCTGAAGAGAAACGAGTTCAGTAGATTGTTCTTGTACATGAGACTCATAACCAATACTTCCACTTCGCGGCTCACTCCAAAGGGGATGGGAAGGGGGTTGCAGGAGACTCTTGGAATATCAGACCATCCTTCCATAAGTAGTAGGTTTTGTAGACTTTCTTGCCAAAGTAGCTCTGTGAACTGCTGTATCATTCCCTTGGTGTACTTGTAAGTCTTTGGGGATAGTAGCAGAATGTGGTCCAGGTTTCTGTGGCTGATTTCACCGAGGTCACAGGCCTGAACTTCTGTGTTAAAATGTTCTGCTTTCCATTGTAGGAACTTCTGCACCTCTCGGAGATGACAGAGCACTGTTGGGTTCTTTTCATTTAGCTGAGTTTTCACAAAGTCATAGTGAATGTCATTTGAGTCATGGAGAACCTTGAGGTAGTGTTTGATCGAGATTATTCTTCCCAAAGTTTGGAGTGGTGGCACACCCAGAATGACTTCCAGTATGGCCCCATGGACGTTGAAAACAGCTCCAACTGCAGCTTTAGACACTCTGTACCATAGTTTGTTTATGTCTGACATATTTGAATTGTTCATCCATATGGTAGAACCATAAAACAAGGTCGAGAACAGAATTGTTTTGGTCACTCTCACTATAACTGCTTGGTTCATGCCCCAGTTTCTGTTTGCATAACGGCTCATACAAACCCAGCGATATACTAGATTGTTGTGTACATGCTTGCTATGCTGTTTGTAGGTTAACTTACTGTCCAAAATGACACCAAGAACCCTTGTCTGATCCGTTAACTGAATTGTTTTCCCTCCAAGGTTGAATGAAGTCGGGACTCCAGCATGATCATAGCAGTTGAAGCATATAATTTCAGTCTTATTTTTGTTGCAGTTGATAACCATGCGCCAACAAGAGGTCCAATATTCAATGCTGTCCATAGCCAGGTTGAGATAGAAAAGGCACTCTTCCAAGTCTCTACCAACCACTTTCACCGTACCATCATCAGCGAATTTTAACACACTTATTTGTTGGTACACTGAACAGACTGCCTCAATATCCATAATGAAGAATTTGAACAAAATAGGAGACAGCACAGATCCTTGTGGTAACCCATAGTCCAAGCAGTCCCTAACAGGGCCAAGGAATCCATTTATTAATAGGCACACTGTGCGACCAAATAGAAAACTGTCTATAGTTTTTAGGTAACAGCCATGAACACCAGCTCTCCAGAGCTTAACAATTAGACCTTTTTTCCAGACGGAATCAAATGCCTTTTCGAAGTCGATAAACAAGCAAAGTACCGTAAGCTTCTTTATAATATCACCTTTAATACCAACAGTCAGTCGATTGAGGTATCTAATAGTATTCTTGCCTTTTGAGAATCCTTCCTGATTTACATCCGTAAGTCCCACTTTCATAAGATATATATCAAGTCGTCGTGCCAGGATTCGTTCAAACAGTTTCCCTACATATGAAGATATTGAAATGGGCCTGTATGCACCTGCTTGGGAGTATGATGACTTTCCGTCTTTTTTGAGAAACACAATCTTAGAATCGTTCCACAGCCAGAGCCCATTTCGCAGGCAGAGTGTAAAAAGCTTGCTTAGTGCATGAATTGCAATCGGACCTAGTTTCTTTAGCATAGACTGATGCACTTCGTGGTTATCAAAACTGGCGGCTGTTGATTGAATGCCTTTCAGAGTAGCAGAGACCTCCCATGGTGTAACAGGGCAATAAAGTGTGGAGCTGTTGGTAAACCTATCTGCCATTGCCTCAGTTGCACTGGGTTGAAAGTTTCTGTATTTTATGTCATCATACAGTTTGTTTATATCCTGAAAGAAAGCATTATCGAATTTATCGATATTATTTTCGATGTGTTTAGCCTGGAAAAATGTTTCAAACATTTCTTTCTCAATGTCAGCATTTCCTGTAAGAATAGTTCCATCGTCCGATATAAGAGCTTCAACCATCTGATCTGATGGGGGTTTGAAAAGCTTATTAAACTCCTTCCAGAACTTTTTTGCCTGAGAAGTGTTAAGGTCATTTGTCTTTCGAAGAATAAACTGCTGACATGCCTGCTTTCTTGCTTCCTCAAATTCTTTCTTGGAAGCCTGCAGAGCTTCAAAGGCTGAGTCAGTATTTCTGGATAGATATGATTTGAGATCCAATCTGAGTCTTTCAGAGAGTAGTGATAGCTTGGGGGTCCAGTACGGTTTGCTGTGTTTGGAGACACATTTCATTTGGCAGTTTTCTTTTGTGGAAACATCAATAGCTGTGTTAATGGCCTCCAGCAGTTCCTTGATAGTCCCATCAGTAGCTAAGCTGTCAATTTTTTCAATTTCCAGGTCAAGCTCTATGTCTCTAGTCCAGTTGAACCAGTCCATTGATTTAAGGTTATACTTCTTAACATTCTCTGACCTGATTGCGACAGGTTGTACTTGGATATTGATTGAGATTGGGACATGACCTCTCAGGGGAGCCCCACTGTACAAATTAGCAAAATGATCTGCAATTGGATGATCTAGATATTTATCAAGTTGAGTGGATGTGATAAAAAAGTCGATATGACTGCTACCATTCCTTGCCAAAAATGTACTTGAAGAAGATGCATGCACACAGAACTTAGACCAGTCTAGATGTTCTTCAATATATTTTCCGTACTTATTTACCACAGTATCATTCCAAATATAATGACGAGCATTAAAATCCCCCATAGCAATCACACCTGCACATTTGTAAAACCTACTCAGTTCATTTGCCTTATCAAGCATTACCAGCATCTCTTTGACACCTGATAGATAGTCTAGTTTCAGGTAAAGGTTCCCAATTATGTACCTCTTGCCGTTCCAAGATAATATTCCCCAAACCGAGTCAATATTGGATGAAATATGTGAGATAACAGGAAGCTGTGTGAACATGACTTCTTGTTTAACAATAATTGCACATCCTTTGTTGCTATTCTTATTTGTATCTTCAAAGGTTTTCATGTTGGTTAGTGATTTCCACTGGCTGCTACTACCAGTCTCCTGCACACCAAAAAGAAGAATGTTGTTATCAGACGCATACTTGCTTAGCATCATGTTGCTTCTTTGAGATAGACCACAGATGTTTATTGTGCAGAATTTTCCAAGCACAGTGTTATTTCCAGCATTTCCGATTGAGTTATGATTTTTGATCATAATGCATCATGGGAGAACTTAGCCAATTTCTCTTTGTACACTGCACAGTCAAAAGAACCTGCTTGATGATCTTCCTTGCAATGTGCACATTTGAAGCCACTAGTTATTGGACAGCTATTGCTTTCATGGTTTTCTGCACATTTACCGCACTTAGCTGGTTTGGTACAATATCGGTGAATATGTCCCCAACCTTGGCACTTATTGCACTTGATTACCCTAGACTTTCTTTTGTACTCTTCAACTATGTAGCGTTGATGGCAAAACTTTATCTTGTCTGTTATAACTTTTGTCATTGCTTCTCGTGATGAAAATTCTAGTTTGATCATTCCATTGAATGATTTATCAGACCTCTTCTGTTGAAATTCACACTTAGTGATTATACCAGGGTAATTCTGCATAATATCCTTCTTCATATCATCCTCGTTGTGATCATCATACACATGCTTAACCATGGCAACAGTGTTATAGTCACCTGGTATTTTCATACCTTTATTACCACCAAAATGACTGGTTTTCCAGTTAGACTGCACAGTTTTAGCTGTGTTTTCATCCTCAAATTCAAATGTGATGGAACCTGATGCCGTTAACCTACAATGTTTGATCACCATGCCTTGGTAATGCTGATTAAAAGCCTTACGAATATCACGACTAGTCCTTATGGTAGTATCTTCTGGTCGGATAACAACTCTGGTACGTTTGAGTCGCTCAACATCGTCAGAGTCCTGTCTAGCTTTTGAAATCGATTTCAGACCCTCCATGACCTTTTGTGGGATAGGACTATGTTTGGAGATACCGTTTGAAACAGCTGCACTGTATAATGGTCCTTTATTTGCTGCCTGTTTTAACTGTTTCTCGACAGTGGTAACTTTCACGGTAATAGCATCCACTTTACGCTCCACACGCTTCAACTTGGATAGAGCACTACCATAAACTGAGTTACACGGGGGGCACAGCACCTTAATGTATGTTGGAGAATCACTAAGTGCTTTAAACAGGCTGAGACTAATGGGCTTTTCTGTGCAGTTGGTGTGAAAATACCACCCACATCCACTGCATTCAATGCCAAGACCTGATGTATCCGAGTTATTTGTAACCTCTTTACAGCAAACAGAACATGGGTACATCACCTTACCCGATTCTGATTTAGCAAAAATTCCTTTTACCGTTCCATCTACTGATTCGAAATCAACAAATGTACCTTTTTTATCAAATACTGCCAAAGTGTTATCATTATCATGGTTACCAATTCCTCTTGTGAAGACTTTGCTGCTGCGAAGAAGTTTGCGCTTTCCATCCTCGTCATAGCCCTCTGGAGCAGTCAGCTGGAATTTGGATAAGACACTATCAAGCTGAGGAGAGGTTAGTTCAGTTAAAATTAACTTTATAGGAGTAGCCATTCCGAACGCTGTCCAAAGTATGTGTTGATCCAAAGATGTCGAAACAAAATTGAGAAAGATTTAACCCACCGGAGAGGTTCCGACTTGTGGGTCGGACTCCCTTTAAAGATTTAGATGAGAAGTGAAGAAAGGTCTTCAGTGACTGGTCTGGAGGCCTTGTCTGGTCAGAGCCACCGTTATAGCTTGTTTACGATTCCACTACTTGTACATTTCACATACCTCAATAAATGTATTTAATTGTAGTTGTGAAAATAGTTTGAAACTCAAGTGATGGACAGAAAGTCATACACCAAATGAGCATTATATTTTCATTGTTATAAATTTGTTGATTCTGTAAAATTTGCTAAAATTTAATTTCTTGTTTCATTGAAAATTTCTTGTTTCATTGAAATTAAGTGTTGCAATTGGCAAAGCACAATACATTGTTACCAATCTGGGCCTCAAAATTCTGTCTAATCTCTTATTAGAATATCTTCTATATGATCCGTAGAACATATCCTGAAAGTTTTAGGGTGTCTGCTCTAAAAGTGTAAGAAAAGATAATTTTTAAAGATTCGATTGCATGTGTTTCATTTCTCAACACTACATCAGAGACTATGAATGTAAAATATGGAGTTCCCCAAGGTTCCATACTAGGCCCTCTACTTTTCTTATTATATATGAACGACATAATAAACTGTTACAAAGGCGATGAATGCAAATTTGTGCTCTATGCTGATGACACAAATATATTTATCACTGGACCGTCCAAAGAAGCAACATACTTGAAGGCCAATAAAGTTCTTGATTTCGTATGCAAATTCATGAGAAGTAATCTCTTACATATAAATATGTCTAAATGCTGCTACATACATTTTCTACCTGCATACGAATCTGATGAAACCTGCACCAGGGTTAGGCCGTATGCCAATGAATATGACAAATCACAAGGAATATTTATAAATGGATACAAAATTGTCAAGGTTAGCAACACCAAATTTCTTGGTGTAGTAATTGATGAAAAACTTAGCTGGGGCCCACATATAGAATATCTAAGAAAAAAAATTAGATCCACTACAGGAGCACTTAACAGGATTAAACATTCAGTTCCAGGGGAACACTACCAAAAAATATACTCTGCATTATTGGAATCACATCTTGCTTACGGAATAAGTGTTTGGGGCTCAGCCCTCAAAGACCAACCAAACGATAAGCTGTTCATAACTCAGAAACGTTGTATAAGAATCCTTTTTGGAGACCTAAATGCATACCTCAACAAACATGCCACTTGTGCACGAGCCAGACCTTATACAAAACAGAGGTTAGGAGCTGCTTTTTTCGAAAAAGAGCACACCAAGCCCATTTTTAATCGACTAAAATTGCTTACTGTTCAAAACTTGTACAAATACCACTGTATATCTGAGATATTTCGAATTATGAAATTTCGCACTCCATACTCGTTGTATTGTACTATAGACTCATCAAAACGTGATACAAGCAATGTCATAATCCTCCCAAGAAAAACCAACACTTTTCTTTATATAGCCTCCAAATTGTGGAATTGCATACATAAACGGATTCTAAATGAGAATGGGGAAATCCTCACTACTTCTGTATCTTTGGTTAAATTACGCTGTAAAAGTATCATCCTGGGATCTCAATCCATCAACAATAATAACACCTGGACTTACCACAACTTTCACATCCCCCCTCACTCAGTCACAGACCAAACCAGTTCATCACTCACTCACCAAATTGCCGACCCAATATCTATTGAAGTAGCGAAAATTTTCTAGACAAATGACATTTCGATATTATTGCTGCAGCAGATACAAATACCAACATTATTATATTCCCAAACGTTTGAACCTTTAAATTAACTAGGAAAGTCAATCCTCAACTTGACTTTTACTGTTTTAAACAGATATGATGATATTAACTTAACTTATTATTATTTTTTTACATACTCCTTCTTAGTGTGGTGACTGGGGTCCATAAATACAGGGTGGGCCAAAAGTCAGTACCCATACGTTGGCCTTTACAGCTCAGTCACTGAGTGCCTAATTGAAATAATTCTTTCTGGTATAACTTAGTACCACCACTGGTTCGAGGAATTTGTCAACTCGAAAAATATTCGTGTTCATTTTTTTCGAATGAAGATTCATTTTCGCATTTATTTTATAATTTGGATAGTCGGATCGAGCTAAATTTTATTGAATTGTGTTTGGCCATTCGAATTACGTTTGTCCTGAAAAAATTAGAGTTATAGCTTCTCAGATGACCGAGATATTCATTACGTGTGATCAGGTGATTGGCTTACCTAATCACGTGATAAGGTGACCCCGTTAACTACCCTGTTAAACATTATGGGAATCGTTAAGGCTGCCCAATTAAGGTGTCGTGTCACGGTGTCACATAATCACCCAATCAATTTTGCTAACGAGATACACAAATCGCTTGATAACTTCGTCATTTCTAATCCGTTTCACATCATTATTTCAGATCAGATGCAAAATATAATAATCTGCCGTCTCAGAAAAAATTAGGCGTCCAACATGTTCAGAGAGAACAATATAGGTGTTTTAATATTGAATGGGCGTGGTTTAAAATGTTCGAATTTTCAAATTTTGGCGACGGAATCCTCGAACAAATAGGTACAGTATGCCATTTGAAAAGCAACAACTCTCAAATATAAAAGACGGCGGAGGTATAAGACCCAACGTATGGGTACTGACTTTTGGCCCACCCTGTATAACAATACAAGCTGATAAACCAAAAAGAACAACTGGGGTAGGTAGGTAGCCCTGGTGGGTGCGTAAACTTTACGGTCTGCTCTCTCCAAGATCAGCCTGCTTCTCCATTTTACCGTGAAGCCTAATTTCTAGTTTTTATAAAATATACAATGCAAGTGCAGGTTTACTAATCTTAATCTACTTAACAACTCATTAGCCCAAGTCACCATACCCGTAGTATATTCCATGGTAATAGAAGAGCTTTAAAGTTTTTCAAATTGTTGCTATAATTGATTTAAATAAAAATTTGTTGTTTTCTTGAAATTTGTTGTTTTCTTGATCGAAATTCACTCATGCAATACAATTACACATGAGCGCTGACCTTTGAACTTTGACCGGCGATAACTTCGGCTAGAAACAATATTTTTCCATGGGATCAAAAGCAGCTGACCAATGAATTAAATTTATCAATCAAATCTTCTATTTAGTGGATATGATAAATCGATTATGCTACTTTTGTTGAGTCGTACGAATGCGTGTTCCAAGATACGTACAGCGCAGGTATGTCATTCAATCAAGTTATTCTCACATGATTTTCTCATTGAAGTGCCTAATTACAACATGTTTTTTTCCTGCCGTGACTTTCTTGTGAAACTCGATTTTGAGGTAGTAGTTGAGAAAAAAACTGGGGCCCATGACTTTACTTTGGGGGGGGGGGGGGGGGGGGGAGGTTTACAAATTGCCAATAAGCTTACAGAGGTTTACAATTTATATTGATTTATGATAGTAAAAATTCTTCAGGGCATCAACGTCTCAAGATGTCGCCAACTTCCTACTAGCTCTGCAGCCCACTCTTTATTCTTTCTACAACTACATCCACTGAACTGGGCACGGTTTTAAGATGGGGATTCAGGCCTCCTCAGCCCAACCTAGTCTGTGACATTATAGATGCAGGAACATAACCACCAATAACAGAGCCATCAGTTTTAACTTATTTGCGAGTTATTCTGACCCTTCTGAAAACCCTGATATGTCATTTGATACTGAGCTGTGTATTGGACCGTTGAGAACATATAATATACAGCTTTGAGTGTATGATGATAAATCAGCAATCTGTAATAGGGAGCCACTGATAGTTGCTGTGTCTACATAGTGACTGGGCTGTCAGCCTTAAAGGAGAAAATATACCAATTTACTGATCTCGTGGGAATTACATCGAAATCATATTATCACCCTGTCCTGAACTGGGCACGGTTTTAAGATGGGGATTCAGGCCTCCTCAGCCCAACCTAGTCTGTGACATTATAGATGCAGGAACATAACCACCAATAACAGAGCCATCAGTTTTAACTTATTTGCGAGTTATTCTGACCCCTGAAAACCCTGATATGTCATTTGATACTGAGCTGTGTATTGAACCATTGAGAACACTTATATACAGCTTTGAGTGTTTGATGATAAATCAGCGATCTGTAATAGGGAGCCACCAATAGTTGCTGTGTCTACATAGTGACTGGGCTGTCAGCCTTAAAGGAGCAAAATACCAATTTACTGATCTCGTGGGAATTACATCGAGATCATATTATCACCCTGTCCTGAACTGGGCACGGTTTTAAGATGGGGATTCAGGCCACCTCAGCCCAACCTAGTCTGTGACATTATGGATGCAGGAACATTTAAACCACCCTTCTGAAAAACATTCAAGAAGCATGTCTATGCATGTACACTGCACAGAAGGAGCATTGCCATGCTAGTTTGTGGACACGCTCATCAGTGGAGGAGCATTGCTATGGATTGAACTTAATAATACCAAATAAAATAATACCGAGAACTTATCGTTTGACTTATAGATTTATATTACATTTTTAAATTGCAAACAAGTAAATTTATTGTTTAATGATATATTTTTATTTTGTTACTTATTTTGTGTCACTGCCTCGACTACTATAATTTTCAAAAATACCTTTACAGATTCCCTTTTTGAATAGATTAAATTACTTTGGGGTCTTTCATATACAACGTAAGTAGGGCCGGGGTTTTTAAATGCTTGTTCTAGTGTCATTCCTCCATGATAGCTCTGTATAATAATGGTCACTGAGGGAAGTGTAGTACAGTAAGACCCCGAGTTTGGGGGAAAAGAAACATCCGCAGTGAATCAGGGTTTGCGGTAAATCAGGGTTTTGATTGTTTACATTATGCATGGTAAGCTTTATTTGGGGAAAGGAGATGGCTGCGATAAATCAGGTTTTGCGGTAAATCGGGGCACAGTAAATTGGGGTTTTACTGTATGTGAATTGTATTTCAAAAAAGTTTTAGTGGCATAGCATACTATACAGTACACAGGGTTATCCAAAAGTCTGACCTAAACTTACTTTGTAAATAATTCCTAAATGGCGCAAGATAATTCATTTCTGTGACAACATTTTTTGAAGTAGAAGTTTTATGGTTCTGTCATAATGCTCGATTATTTTCTGGCTAAATATGGAAACAAAAGTGGATATATTTCAATGAATAACGAAAGTGTCGGTTGCTATGGAACCTGCTATCTGTAGAGTTACTTTTGTACTCAGACTTTTGGATCACTCATACTTTTTATCTCTGTAATAAACAGTACTAACATATCACTTCGTCAGCGGTACTATGGTTGAGCTGTCTGATCTTCATAAGATTCTAGATCAGATCGCAGACTCGAACGCTCCGGACTCCTCTGTGTCATGTCTACAAACCGACTTCGTAAGAATCATCAAGACTTATGGCGACAAGGTGTTTGAACAGGTTGATCCTCATGTGGTCTTTGAAAAGTTGGCCACCCAGCTCACTTCTCAAGTACCCAAAATCAGAGCCAACACTTTTCGATGTTTTACGCTTAGCCTGCCCAATATCACTCACGAACATGTTCAAAAATTGAATATTGACCTATTTCTCGTTCGGGCGATTGATACTGGAGGTGGAAAAGATGGAAATGAGGCTTTGGAGGGGGTCGAAGCTCTGAAGTTTATCTACAACCTTGCTAAGTATGGGAAACTTCCTAAAGCTATCTTATTTTGTTTATTGTCACTGGTTAGGACGACTACCAATGAAAACTACAAAAAGTGTGCTACTGCTATTTTATCATGTTATGCATTATCTCAACCAAGCTCCTTCATAGAAAGTGGAGGTATTAAATGTCTCTTGGAAGCCATTGCTATGGGAGGGGAGTATCAGGAAACTGAAGTCCTCTGTCAAGTCTTCATGTATCTGTTTAACAATGTCACCACTAGAAACTTCGTTCATTTGCGAAATGATGTTGGTTTCCTTGTTGCATCTCTGTCTGACCCCTATTTCATCTTGTTCGAGAAGAAGATGGAGAATAAGAAGGAATGTGATTACGTTGAAGAACGTGAAATATGGCTAAATGGTTGTAAAAATGCAATTCTTTCGCTTTGTCGTACTTGGCCCGGTTTGTACACAATACAGGTGGTCTTTAAGGAGATGATGAGCGCACTTACCCGACCATTTCCTAAAATCCAGAGGACTGTAGTCAACTGTATCTACGACATGCTCAACCTCAAACTACCCTCTAACTTGGAATCATTTGAGAAAGCACTCAGTTCCATCATCGATTGGCAACAAAACCCAGATTGGGTAATCACAGAAGACTGGGTTGTTGGAGAAGCTGAGGAGATCTTACCTCCTCACCACATTGAACGACCAAATCTAGTCGAGATATATCATGCCACACTCTTAGCTCTGTTTCTTTCTGTAGATCCCAAACTTGACTCTGTTACCCATGTTGCTATCAATGGAGAAAAAGAAGAGGCAATTCTTGCTGCGATTTTGGTCGGGGAGCTGCTTCACCTGATCAACAAGTTTGATCTTATTTCAGAGCAACACATAGCCCACATCCAACCACTGCTAGTTGAAGCAGTTGCTGTTCACAAAGGGTTTGGAGTTGAGAGTTCTCAATGCATAACAAAGCTTCTAAATCATAGACAACGCCAAGCTCAGGGTCCATTCACATTATTGAGCTATCAACTTACATTGATAAGAGAGAGGGTTTTGAAGTTCAAGAAAGGTTACTACCCTAGCTATCAGTTCAGACATCAAGAACGAGATGAGCACGAGGAGAGACAACACATCCGGTTTATTGAAAACACTAAAGTCTTTGCAGAGGAAGATCCTTTTCAATGGGACTGGAAAATAATTGCTTCTGTGTTGGAGTTAGGATTCTTCCGAACTCAACAGATCGATGAAACTTGTCAAAGATTTCTAAAGAAAGTAATGGAGCCTTTTTCCAGCCGGTATATCCTGACAATGGTGCATTACTACGATGACACTACTGGTCTTGGTAATAGTTCCATCTATACAGGAGTTGGAGTTACTCTGATGAACTTGCTTTTAGAGATTGGTTGTTCAGGGATCGAGGAATTGAAGAATTTAATTCCAGAATTTTTGAGTAATATGACTGTTGAACTGAAAAAATCCAAAGTAGGATCTGGCATATTTTCTGCATCTAGCCTTCGTTCATCTTTAGTAAGTGATTATTTCTTTATGATAGGTACACTATACTCTGATGTGGAAGGAAATAAATATCTAAAGAACTCGAATATCTTCGAAACGTACATTGAGTTGTTTGAAAAGTCACCTGACAAGGACACAATAATGAAGTGTGTTCTGGTCAGTTTGCTGTACGGTAAAGAGAACATTACTGATGCTATCTTTAGCACAATTCTCCACCGTGGATCTGTGACTATCCGCGTATTTGCTATCAAATTCCTCAGGACTCTTATCAGAACCGGTTATCAGAACTTTGAAAAGTTCATCCTACCTATGCTTGTAAGTCAGCTGTATGCTTACAACACCTCAGATGCCGAGGAGATTGTTGAAGAAGCACTAACTGTTCTAACAGAAGCTTGTCAGGATCAAGAGTGTTTGGAGCATTTGTTCAACATGTTTCCTGCATTGATACATCTCGGCGACAAAGGATATGAGCTAGTCCTGAGGTTCCTTTCCATTCCTAGGGGCTTTCAACAGTTGTCTGAGCTGGGTTTTGTTGACACTGAAATGGAAAAGTGGAAACGTTATAAATGTTTAGAGTATGTGAGGAAAGTGGAGACGACATTGCTTGAAGCTCTTACAGGATTCAAACGTGGTGACCCTACTTTCCGGTCTAACGAATTAAAGTTTCCGGAGTACTGTTACACTCCAGTTCATTTATACGGAGAGCTGTCTCAGTTTGATACTGGAATAAAGAGGCTCCAAGATGAAGGTGTCTTTACTGAGCTTGATAAAATGTTGAAGAGCTCGGATATTTTAGATATTAAAGCAGCTGCCTGGGCGATTGGTCATATTGGTGCATCATGTTATGGTTTTGCTAAAATTTCACAATTTGAATTTGTCGGTAAAATCTTCAACTTGTCTGATTCGCACGACAATCTTAGTGTTAGGGGGACATGTGTCTATGTATTAAACTTGATATGTAAAACTGAGAGCGGGTGTGCAGCTATCGAACAGTTTAAATTCACTGCCAGTAGAAGGGATTTTGTTCATCACTTCAGCATTTGTCAGCCAAATAACAAGAAAATGAACAGCGCATTCTCACCTGCAGGTCCTGGTCTGCCAGAGATTGTTGGAAATCGTCAGAGGAGTTCCACATTGCAGCCACCTAGACACAAGACACACTCAAAGAACCGAAGTTTAGGGGAAACACAGCTCAACTTTCTTATCCAATCTGCTGGTAACCCTCACGCATTTGACAGTAAAGAAACCCAACCTGGCGAAAAGATTGGTCTCTGTATCTCTAATGATATCCAGAAATTCTTCACTATAGAGGTCGACTTCAGACGACCTGCTTTCCCTGAACTCAGCGTAGAGAAGCCTGAGGACAAAGACGTGACTCAGCTGCTGAACCTCATTACATGTCTCTCATCAACTCTGCGGGCAAGTGCCTACAGTGCTGAACTTGAAGACCTGGCTAAAACTAAGAAACAGCTATTTTCAGATTTTAGAAACTATATAACTGTCCACGAGCTGATGTCTAGATACAAGTATAGGCAGGGTGCTCGGAGGTTCATACATAAACTATTCGATACTGCTGTTAAATCATCATCAGCAGGCTTCATGATCAAGTCACCCTCCTTAACTTCCATCGGCAGCACAACAAGTGCAGCATTGTCCTAGCATCCTCTCAATTAACACTTTAAATGCTTTTTTGATTTTATTTTTGATTGATGTTTGACTTAATGGGATAATATTTCAACTGTTTTATAAGTTTTTACATCAAACTCTTATTTTAGGTGTGTGGTTATTTGAAGCAGGTTTATTAACTTTATAGTGGATCTTTCGATACATTTATGGTAGAAGGAAGCGTACGTCAACTGCAGTGACTGCGGCAACTGTAGACCATATTTTAAGGATCTTAATGGTTTCAAAAATGACTAATTCTAATTAATGAAACAGTAAGTTATGCCCAGCCGCCCCGCCCCGTATAGTACTTCAGTTTTATTATTGATTTTATTTGATTTGATTTACTTCTTTGTGTGAATGATATATTTTGTTTTATTATGCTTTGTTAAATTTGTGTACCGATTCCTACAGTTTGACGTTTCCTTTTTTAGCAATTCAAGATTTGAATCCTACTGGAAATAATTCCGTAACTTTAATTTCCTTCGTCATAATATGTATTAAATACCTGAAGCTGTAAAATGTGTTAAGTGTAACACACCCGTATAGTACTTCAGTTTAATAATTAATATTCAGGTTCATGGCCGGGCTGTGGAATGAGTACCAAGAAGATGAGCGGAGTTATGAGTCTGGCAGCCGAGGCAGCAACAGGGAAAGTTCTTTCAACACATCTGTCATCAATTTGAAGGAGCCAGTAGATTCTATTGACAAGCGGCCAATCTTTGAGAAGGAGGACACTTATGTTAAAGAAACAGCAGCCATAATAAAGTTAGCCACTGCTAATAGGATACTAGTTGTGGGGCTATTGAGCAACAAAATGAAGAGATTCTACACACAAGCTACCGAGCTGGATGATGTCTTAGATATTCCTAGACCTGTTGGTGATAAATTTCATAACATTTTTCTGGATCCAACTGGTAAACATTTGCTCGTTTCTATGACTTCTGGGGAACTTTTTTACGGCTTCTATGGTAAGCAAACCTTATGGCCATGCTCGAAACAAATGAAGTTATCTGTAAAGATTGACTCTGTTGCCTGGAGTCAAACCAAGCAAACTGATATTGACACCAAGGAAATTCTCATAGGCAATTCGCTTGGAACAATTTATGAAACTAAGCTTAATCCTTCCTCTGATAAACAACTTGTTGCATACTCCAAAATACTTTACAATTTAGACAAACCAGAAGCTATTACAGGTCTCGTTTATTTTCATGAAAATGGTGATCCGAAACAGAGGACCGTCGTTATTGCCACTACTCCTACAAGAATATATCAGTTTTTTGGCAGACTGAAATCCAATGAACAATGCAAATTTGGTTTTATCTTTGGCGAGAATAGTTTGCCTGAGTTCAAAGAAAACATTGAATCTTTGGGTCTTATGGCTGTGGCGTACATAAAGTATCCTCAACCTCGCTCTCTTGTCTGGATGACAGGCGTTGGGATTCAGTATTCAAGGATTAATATCGACTCAGCCTCTTTTGACGAAGAGACTGTTTTGTCAGAAAATAAACTGACCCCATTCACTGACAAAGGTATTCCAGTGGCTATTGGTGTCTCAGAGTTTCATTTATTGCTTATGTATGAGAATGGTTTTGAGGCGAAAAGTCTCATAAATTGGAAACATGTTCATTATGAGCCCTTGAGAACTCCAGGAGGAACTTACAATACTCTTGCTCTCGATCCAATGGACCAAAGTAAATTCTTCTGCTCTGCAAAGCAAAGCATCATCAGATTTAAGATCCACAAAGAGGATCGTAACGTCTGGAGGATGTATATGCAGCTTCGTAAATTCCAAGAAGCAGAGAAATACGCTGATGGAGATCAGACTAAACTTTTTGAGATTGCTAGCGAGGAAGGTGATTATTATTTTGAGCAGAAGTACTACGATGATGCTGCTCAAACGTATGCACTTTCACATAGATCATTTGAGGAGATCGCACTCAAATTTATCAATGAAAGCACCACACCTGCTCTCATGAACTTCTTGAGATCAAAACTGGATTCAATCAACAACTCCAACAGCCCAACTCAGATCTGCATGCTTGTCGTTTGGATTGTTGAACTCTATCTAAGCGAAATTAGTAGTTTGGAGAAGCAACAACAATCTAGTGAAGAAGAGTGTGACACTGTCCAGTCTACTAGGGCTGACTTAAGGAACTTTCTTGGCAATGAGTTTGTTAGCAGGAACATAAAGAAGAATAAGCCTATTATCAAAGTGATCCAGGAGATGATGGCTAGCTATGGCGACACCTCTGATATGATATACTTCGCTGATCTAATGGAAGATATTGAGAAAGTAATAATGCATCACATTCATGATCAACAGTATGCCTCAGCTCTAAATACCCTGCGGAAACGGAGGAGTCCTGAACTGTTTTACAAGTATACCCCTACACTTATGAAGTACATCCCACGAAACACAGTAGAAGTGTTGGAGCAGTTTGGAAGACATCTTGATCCCAAACAACTGTTACCTTCCTTCATCCATTGTAAAACCCTGGATCAGAAGGAACAGGCTCTGAAGTATCTTCAGTTCGTTGTTTTCAGCACTAAATGTAAAGATGAAGCTATCCACAACTTTCTCTTATCCCTTGTGGTTCAGCAAGACGATGAAGGTTTGCTCCTTGAGTTTTTAGATAAAACTGATGCAAATGTAGATAGAAAATATGCACTGAGACTGTGCTCAGAGCACAGGAAATGGAAAGCATGTTGTTACATTTACACCAAGATGGGGCTTTATGAGGAAGCAGTGAAACTAGCCCTAACTAAGCTGGGAAATGTCCACGAAGCGGAGAAAACAGCGTTGGAAGCCCAGAGTTACAGTCGCCCTGAACAACAGGAGATGATAAAGAAGCTCTGGTTGATGATTGCAAGACATGTTGTGGAGGAGGAGAAGGATATTAAACGTGTAATGGAAGTGATCAACAGAGCTGAACAGGTGTTGAAGATAGAGGATATTCTCCCATTCTTCAACGACTTCTTTTACATTGACGACTTCAAAGATTCCATCTGTAAGTCTTTGGAGATCTATAATCAGAACATCAACCAGTTGAATGATGACATGAAGGACGCTACTGATAGTGCTGAGAGAATACATAATGACATAGATAATCTGAAACGTAAGAACTGTGTGGTGGAATCCTCCAAGAGTTGCTACCTCTGTGATATTCCCTTGCTTACACGCTCCTTTTATGTTTTCCCCTGCAGCCACATGTTTCATACTGCCTGTCTTGTCAAGGAGATAACTGGTTATCTTTCCAAGAGAAAGGCTGAGGAAGTGTCTCAAATTTACAAAGTTTTGCTAAATCTGAAGGACGAAGATCAGACGAGAACTGAATCCTACCGGCGTGCAAAGTGTGAGCTGGATGAGATGATAGCGGAGGAGTGTCTGATGTGTGGAGAGTACATGATTCAGAGTATAGACACACCCTTCTTACCTCGAGATGAGTACCTGTTTGAAAAGCTAAGGTCGGAGTGGTCTTAATGCAGGCTCAAACCTTTTGTTTATTGAATTTTAGATAATTATCGGTTGTTGATCAACTTACATATTTTGATGCATACCTTTTTATTTTTGTACTTGGATTTGATTTTGATGATGAACTGGTCGGATTATATTAAAGATTGAAGTTTATTTAGTTGTAAAGTCATATGTTGGATAAAGACTAGAAACTGTTGATGCTTTGTTTGAATATTTTGATTTTGTAGTTAAATTATCCACAATTACAAGTTAATAGCTGAACTGTACTCTGTAGTAACTAGTAGTAACTACTAGTAACTATAGGAACCATAGTAGAAAGGTGTTGTTATTCAGCTGTAAGAACTGAACATATTGAAAGTACTAGTGTAACCCGTATAGATTGTTCAATTATTCTTGTTTATATTGATTAGTTGATTGAATACTCTACGATTTTTGTTTTTGACAGTTTATGCAAGTATTATTCGATTAATCAAAACTATCTTTTATATAATTTGCCAAACATAACGACTGTAAATCTTCAATATTCCAATAGTGTGAAACCGTTAATTTATGGGAGAAATTTATTTAGAACACGGAGATGGTCCACTTTCAGAAAATTGTGATAAATCTGGGAACCGGGCACGTGTAATGTAAATATAAGATATAGAAAGTGTGATGTATAATATTGTATAAAGTCCCAATACTAGTGTCTCATTAGTACATGTTGAACTGGTGTAGAGGGGCGTGACTGTACACTACACTGGAGTATTGTACTGTCTCATTAGTACATGTTGAACTGGTGTAGAGGGGCGTGGCTGTACACTACACTGGAGTATTGTACTGTCTCATTAGTACATGGTGAACTGGTGTAGAGGGGCGTGGCTGTACACTACACTGGAGTATTGTACTGTCTCATTAGTACATGGTGAACTGGTGTAGAGGGGCGTGGCTGTACACTACACTGGAGTATTGTACTGTCTCATTAGTACATGTTGAACTGGTGTAGAGGGGCGTGGCTGTACACTACACTGGAGTATTGTACTGTCTCATTAGTACATGTTGAACTGGTGTAGAGGGGCGTGGCTGTACACTACACTGGAGTATTGTACTGTCTCATTAGTACATGTTGAACTGGTGTAGAGGGGCGTGACTGTACACTACACTGGAGTATTGTACTGTCTCATTAGTACATGTTGAACTGGTGTAGAGGGGCGTGGCTGTACACTACACTGGAGTATTGTACTGTCTCATTAGTACATGTTGAACTGGTGTAGAGGGGCGTGGCTGTACACTACACTGGAGTATTGTACTGTCTCATTAGTACATGTTGAACTGGTGTAGAGGGGCGTGACTGTACACTACACTGGAGTATTGTACTGTCTCATTAGCACATGTTGAACTGGTGTAGAGGGGCGTGGCTGTACATTACACTGGAGTATTGTACTGTCTCATTAGTACATGTTGAACTGGTGTAGAGGGGCGTGTCTGTACACTACACTGGAGTATTGTACTGTCTCATTAGTACATGTTGAACTGGTGTAGAGGGGCGTGGCTGTACACTACACTGGAGTATTGTACTGTCTCATTAGTACATGTTGAACTGGTGTAGAGGGGCGTGGCTGTACACTACACTGGAGTATTGTACTGTCTCATTAGTACATGTTGAACTGGTGTAGAGGGGCGTGGCTGTACACTACACTGGAGTATTGTACTGTCTCATTAATACATGTTGAACTGGTGTAGAGGGGCGTGGCTGTACACTACACTGGAGTATTGTAGTGTCTCATTAGTACATGTTGAACTGGTGTAGAGGGGCGTGGCTGTACACTACACTGGAGTATTGTACTGTCTCATTAGTACATGTTGAACTGGTTATTAGTACGGTGTGTGTTGGACCTTTTTTGCTAGATTTAGAATGACTTTGTGTATTTTGAGGTGTTAAGTGTTAAACTCTACCGGTGTTAAACTTGTTAACTCTACTATACCGGTGTAGTACATCTCTACTAGTAATATTAAACTATTGTAGGTACTAGACTAGGTTACATTCGCAAATGATATCACTAATAGTAGGATATTATGCAGTGCATAATGCGAATATAGATTAGCATAATATTGAACTGTACAGCTGTGTACAAATGTATAATGTAGGGGGTAAATAATATTACATCAGCTGAAAACATTAGCTCTATTATTATCACTAACTGGTATGTTTATACCTACAGCATTACAGTACCAGCATTACAGTACCAGCATTACAGTACCAGCATTACAGTACCAGCATTACAGTACCAACATTACAGTACCAGCATTACAGTACCAGCATTACAGTACCAGCATTACAGTACCAGCATTACAGTACCAGCATTACAGTACCAGCATTACAGTACCAGCATTACAGTACCAGCATTACAGTACCAGCATTACAGTACCAGCATTACAGTACCCTGTAGTAACTAGTAGTATAGTACATAGTAGTACTAGTAGTAACTAAGTATAATCATTGTTCATACCTCACGAACGGTTTGGGAATGTCATTTTTTATTTACCTCTAAGATAAATGGAGGTAAGACAAGTTAACAACTCTGCCAACTAAACAACACAGCAAGACAAGAGGATTGTTATTTTGACAAACCTGTATAAACCTATAAATTGACACTTATACCCACATTAGGGGTACCCCCCCCCCCCCACATTCTCTCACACCCCCCTTATAATCTCACCCATACAGCGCCCATATTATTATGACAGCTGTACATTTGATTACCATGATACTTATATTAGGTTGTTATGGTTACCTTTATCTCTCAACTTCTCTAGACCTCCTGTGTACAAGACGACTAGCTAATATTTATTATATACTTTACTGTGAACGAACGAGAGTTAACATTTCCCTAAGATCTCGTCATTTCAAATCAATTAATCAATCTAATTGTAAAATATTGAAAGTAAGTAGGTAAAATATTGAATTAATTAGTTTTTTTCCGTTCATCATTTTTTCAAAAATGTTAAATGGAAGGTTAAGATTTTGCAGAAAAAGAGGGATTTTGGAGAAATATAGTTCGGTTTAGATATGTCGTCAGTCCTTCCTTACTTTCGTCCGTTACCATGACAACAAGAAATACGCACGCAGCGGGCAAGGGTTGCTTGCGAGGATAGTTAATAGTTAATAGTACTATGTTTCCTAGGGTATCCTAGGAAGTTTCTTGAACTTTTAACAGGTACCCCTCCTCATTTAACCCTCAATTAAGTTTCCTATCATTCGGCTGAGTCGACCGAGGAGATCGTATAGATCCAATGGATCCTTAGCTACTCCCTAGACTAGGTGACACTGGGATTTGAACCCTGAACCTTCTGCGCAGAAGGCGGATGCTCTAACGTCTCGTCCGTCTATGTCCGCTTGTCTCATAGAATCCAAAAAGGACAGGACATAGGCGGACATAGGCGGACATAGGCGGACATAGACAGACATAGGCGGACATAGGCGGACATAGACGGACATAGGCGGACATTAATGGACACCTAAATTGCTAAATAAAATGTTCAATTTTTGCTGTTATAGGGGGATCATGTTTTTTGTCCGTTCGGTACCCTATATTTTCAAAACGGACAAAAAATAGATCGGACAAAAACGGACAAAAATGGACAAAAATGGAAATAACATTTAGATGCTTCCTCCTCCTACTCTTCCTCCTCAGCTCCTCCCCCTGGGTCTTCCTGATCTTCCTCAGTCCTCTTCCTCCTCCCCTCCTCAGTCCTCCTACTCCTCCTCGTCCTCCTCAGTCCTCCTCCTCCTCCTCCTCCTCCTCCTCTACCCTCTCAGTCATCCTCCTCAGCCATCCTCCTCAGTCCTCCTCAGTCCTCCTGGGTCCTCCTCCTGGGTCCTCCTCCTCCTGGGTCCTCCTCCTCCTCTTCATCCTCCTCCTCTTCCTCCTCGGTCCTCAGTCCTCCTCCTCCTCCTGGGGGGGGGGGGGGGGGGGGGTGATGCAACGTCAATTAATGTCAGTATTCCATAAAAACCCCAAACTGACATTGACATTAATTGACATTAATTGACATTAATTGACATTAATTGACATTAATTTGTCTTGAAATTTGAGATTATCATTATTCGATAAATATTCAAGATATTCACGTCTAGGTAAGTTAGACCGGTTCAAAAAAACAAAATGTCCTTGAATAATTATGAGTATGTTCTTATCTGTTGATCCTTAGGTTCAAAGACCACCAAAAAAATGTCAGCTTCCAACTCTTCCATCTTCGGTCCCTACCGGCCACGCCCATATTTTATTGGTTTCTTATACAGGTAAAATATCTAGAATCGGCTTTTTTTGTATGAAGGAGTAATGTTAGCTGTTTAAGATTCGTTATTCAAATATAAATGTCATGAAGGCATTTCGTTTAATGTAGGTTTTAAGTTCTGATAATGTCGAGAACCACGCCCTTGGATGGCCACGCCCATTTAAGAAAATTAAATTTCGGAAAACCGTATTATTTTAGTTTTATCGTAATGATCTGAATTTTTTTCACATTTCCCATTTCCATATGTGATAGTAGTGAATAAATTGATGATATAAACGTTCTAAAGTGCTAAAAATATGGTAGAACTACATAATCTCTGGTCGAAAAATATCGTGTCAATTAATGTCAGTATTCCAAAATTTTGCAAAATTGACATTAATTGACATTAATTGACATTAATTGACATTAATTGACGTTGCATCACCCCCCTCCTGGGTCCTCCTCCTCATCCTTCTCATCAGTCCTCCTCCTCCCCAGTCCTCTCCCAGTCCCCCTCCTTCTCCTCCTCCTCAGTTCTCCTCAGTCCTCCTTCTTATTTCTCCTAAGTCCTCCTCCTGAGTCCTCCTCCTGAGTCCTCCTCCTCTTCCTTCTGAGTCCTCCTCCTGAGTCCTCCTCCTCCTCCCTCTCAGTCATCCTCCTCAGCCATCCTCCCCAGCCATCCTCCTCAGCCATCCTCCTCAGTACTCCTCAGTCCTCCTCCTTCTCAGTCATCGTCAGTCCTCCTCCTCAGTCCTCCTCAGTCCTCCTCCTCCTTCTGGGTCCTCCTCCTCCTGGGTCTTCCTGATCCTCCCCAGTCCTCTTCCTCCTCCCCTCCTCAGTCCTCCTCCTACTCTTCCTCCTCGTCCTCAGTCCTCCTCAACAGTTCTCCTCCTCCCCAGTCCTCCTCCTGATCCTCCTCCTGGGGCCTTTTCCTGGGTCCTCCTCCTGGGTCCTCCTCCTCCTGGGTCCTCCTCCTCCTGGGTCCTCCTTCTCCTCCTCCTCAGTCCTCTTCCTCCTCTTCCTCCTCCTCCTCCCTCTCAGTCATCCTCCTCAGCCATCCTCCTCAGCCATCCTCCTCAGTCCTCCTCCTTCTCAGTCCTCCTCCTGAGTCCTCCTCCTCCTCAGTCATCCTCCTCAGTTCTCCTCCTCCTCCTCCTAGGTCTTCCTTCTGGGTCCTCCTCCTCCTCCTCCTCCTGGGTCTTCCTGATCCTTCTCCTCCCTCTCAGTCATCCTCCTCAGTCATCCTCCTCAGTCATCCTCCTCAGCCATCCTCCTCAGCCATCCTTCTCAGCCATCCTCCTCAGTACTCTTCAGTACTCTTCAGTCCTCAAAATGTTTGTCCGCTAATGTCCACCAATGTCTGCTAATGTCCACCAATGTCCATCCAAGTCCGCCAATGTCCGTCCGGGTCCGCCAATGTCCGTCCGAGTCCGCCAATGTCCGTCCGTGTCCGCCAATGTCCCAAAAAACACGTCCGTTGTCTCATAGAATCCAAAAAGGACAGGACATAGGCGGACATAGACGGACATGACACCCCCCTCTAACCACTAGGCCACCTAGCCGCTGTGATGTATAACCTGTACTCTGTAGTCAGTGTATGCGCGGTGCGTATGTATTTTAATAATATATTCGAATTTTCAAATTTTGACGACGGAATCCTCGAACCAGTAAGTACAGTATGCCATCTGCAAAGCAACAGCTCTCAAATATAAAACACGGCGGAGCTATTAAGGCCAACGTATGGGTACTGACTTTTGGCCCACCCTGTATATTATGCGATAATAAAGCCCAATTTGTACGTGACACGTATAGTGTATAGTGTAATGATGTGTATAAGAATTGAGTATAGTTCACTTTTTGCTTCAAATTTCATATATTTAACAGAAAAAGTTAAGTTCCACGGCAATTTTTAAGGCAATTAAATTGAATCACAAGTGTTTTCCGTATCTTAACAGTTAAAACCATAATATTATGAAGTGAACTATGATGAGAGGAAATCCGGCGTCCGCGACAACAAAAAACGGGCGCAATTCTTGTTAATTAATCAATACATTTCCTTATGTACTTATTTATTAAAGGTTTGATTTGTGACTAATAATAGTGCCCCCCCCCCCTAATAGTACACTTACCCACCCAGTCATGGATAGTGGACTAAATGGAAACAGATGAATATAGCTGCAGCGGGAGCGGGGATGGCGCCTGTAAACGTATCGCTGGTACTAAGCTTTCTAAGAAGTCTTACAAGGAGACTTGCAAGTTCACCATCAACAGGTTAGGGTTGTAAATATAATACTATTTACCCTCTAGTGACCATTTAGTTACCAGTTACCACTGCACCTAGTTACAACTGCACCTAGTTACCACTGCACCTAGTTACCACTGCACCTAGTTACCATCTAGTTACCACTGTACCTAGTTACCACTGTACCTAGTTACCACTGCACCTAGTTACCACTGCACCTAGTTACCACTGCACCTAGTTACCATCTAGTTACCACTGCACCTAGTTACCACTGCACCTAGTTACCATCTAGTTACCACTGTACCTAGTTACAACTGCACCTAGTTACCACCTAGTTGGCATAGTACTAGTTGTAAACAATATCTGCAACTATTCATTAATAATAATCGCACAGTATGCTAAGTAAGACCCCAGCTCCTCATGTGAACTATTGTCCCCCAGTCTGCTAAGTAAGCCAGATAGGCCCCACAAGACCCCAGCTCCTCATGTGAACTATTGTCCCCCAGTCTGCTAAGTAAGCCAGATAGGCCCCACAAGACCCCAGCTCCTCATGTGAACTATTGTCCCCCAGTCTGCTAAGTAAGCCAGATAGGCCCCACAAGACCCCAGCTCCTCATGTGAACTATTGTCCCCCAGTCTGCTAAGTAAGCCAGATAGGCCCCACAAGACCCCAGCTCCTCATGTGAACTATTGTCCCCCAGTCTGCTAAGTAAGACAGATAGGCCCCACAAGACCCCAGCTCCTCATGTGAACTATTGTCCCCCAGTCTGCTAAGTAAGCCAGATAGGCCCCACAAGACCCCAGCTCCTCATGTGAACTATTGTCCCCCAGTCTGCTAAGTAAGCCAGATAGGCCCCACAAGACCCCAGCTCCTCATGTGAACTATTGTCCCCCAGTCTGCTAAGTAAGACAGGTAGGCCCCACAAGACCCCAGCTCCTCATGTGAACTATTGTCCCCCAGTCTGCTAAGTAAGCCAGATAGGCCCCACAAGGCCCCAGCTCCTCATGTGAACTATTGTCCCCCAGTCTGCTAAGTAAGCCAGATAGGCCCCACAAGACCCCAGCTCCTCATGTGAACTATTGTCCCCCAGTCTGCTAAGTAAGCCAGATAGGCCCCACAAGACCCCAGCTCCTCATGTGAACTATTGTCCCCCAGTCTGCTAAGTAAGACAGATAGGCCCCACAAGACCCCAGCTCCTCATGTGAACTATTGTCCCCCAGTCTGCTAAGTAAGCCAGATAGGCCCCACAAGACCCCAGCTCCTCATGTGAACTATTGTCCCCCAGTCTGCTAAGTAAGCCAGATAGGCCCCACAAGACCCCAGCTCCTCATGTGAACTATTGTCCCCCAGTCTGCTAAGTAAGACAGATAGGCCCCACAAGACCCCAGCTCCTCATGTGAACTATTGTCCCCCAGTCTGCTAAGTAAGCCAGATAGGCCCCACAAGACCCCAGCTCCTCATGTGAACTATTGTCCCCCAGTCTGCTAAGTAAGCCAGATAGGCCCCACAAGACCCCAGCTCCTCATGTGAACTATTGTCCCCCAGTCTGCTAAGTAAGCCAGATAGGCCCCACAAGACCCCAGCTCCTCATGTGAACTATTGTCCCCCAGTCTGCTAAGTAAGCCAGATAGGCCCCACAAGACCCCAGCTCCTCATGTGAACTATTGTCCCCCAGTCTGCTAAGTAAGACAGATAGGCCCCACAAGACCCCAGCTCCTCATGTGAACTATTGTCCCCCAGTCTGCTAAGTAAGCCAGATAGGCCCCACAAGGCCCCAGCTCCTCATGTGAACTATTGTCCCCCAGTCTGCTAAGTAAGCCAGATAGGCCCCACAAGACCCCAGCTCCTCATGTGAACTATTGTCCCCCAGTCTGCTAAGTAAGCCAGATAGGCCCCACAAGACCCCAGCTCCTCATGTGAACTATTGTCCCCCAGTCTGCTAAGTAAGCCAGATAGGCCCCACAAGACCCCAGCTCCTCATGTGAACTATTGTCCCCCAGTCTGCTAAGTAAGCCAGATAGGCCCCACAAGACCCCAGCTCCTCATGTGAACTATTGTCCCCCAGTCTGCTAAGTAAGCCAGATAGGCCCCACAAGACCCCAGCTCCTCATGTGAACTATTGTCTCCCAGTCTGCTAAGTGAGCCAGATAGGCCCCACAAGACCCCAGCTCCTCATGTGAACTATTGTCCCCCAGTCTGCTAAGTGAGCCAGATAGGCCCCACAAGACCCCAGCTCCTCATGTGAACTATTGTCCCCCAGTCTGCTAAGTAAGACAGATAGGCCCCACAAGACCCCAGCTCCTCATGTGAACTATTGTCCCCCAGTCTGCTAAATAAGCCAGATAGGCCCCACAAGACCCCAGCTCCTCATGTGAACTATTGTCCCCCAGTCTGCTAAGTAAGCCAGATAGGCCCCACAAGACCCCAGCTCCTCATGTGAACTATTGTCCCCCAGTCTGCTAAGTAAGCCAGATAGGCCCCACAAGACCCCAGCTCCTCATGTGAACTATTGTCCCCCAGTCTGCTAAGTAAGCCAGATAGGCCCCACAAGACCCCAGCTCCTCATGTTAACTGCAAGATAACGAACAAGAAAGCTCACACCGTCTTCAGCTTCAACGACTCACCGGAGAAACTGATCAAGATAAAGAGCCCGCATATGCTTACTGCTGAGGTAAAACACAAGACATTTTTAAATGTCAACACTTTCTGTGCGGTTATAGTATTATAATATATAGTATTATAATATATAGTATTATAATATATAGTATTATAATATATAGTATTATATCTAGTATTATATCTAGTATTATATATTGTATTATATATTGTATTATATATTGTATTATATATTGTATTATATATTGTATTATATTATATTGTATTATATTATATTGTATTATATTATATTGTATTATATTATATTGTATTATATAAAGTACTAGTGTAACCTGGCCATAGTATGGCCGGGTCTTCACTATCGCAGTTGAATTGCAATAAACAGTATAAATAAATTAGGTACTACTGCCAAATTACCTAATTATAAACAAAAGCTGTGATGGGGAGAGAGTCAGAGAGGGGGTGAGAGAGAGAGTGTGAGAAAAAGTGGGTACAAAACCATTATTTAAACCACTTACCGCCGGCCGATTTAGAAAAGCTTTGCTTATATCGGCTTCGAGTTTTGTGTAAACTATACCGAAAAACCCTGTCCCATAACTTTGACCGTTTTCTTAATTAAGCCGCTCGGAAATTACACACAGACTGACAGACAGACAAACATTTTGGGATTATCCTAGTATAGATTACTGGTTAAGGGGCAGGGGGTTTTTTTGACATCTCTCTCGAAATTGATTTTATGAGTGTTGCTAATAGAGCGGAGTTATATCTATCTGCTGCTTTTAGTCCTATGGAAAAATATTGTCAAATGTCAGCGCTTGAATGTGTAATTGTATTGTGCGAGCGATTTTCAATTGCGCACACCGAAAATCAAGTATAAATTCCTATCTTCTTCGACAGTTTTTGAACGATCACCCTGAAACTTTCAGGATAGGATTTTGAGATAGGCCTTTAAAAATTTGTTATTCGATTTTGAAAATCAATTTTTTATAACGCTTGTAAAGTTATAACTCCTTCTTGTTACCACCGGCCCTCTTTGGAGGTTCAGATTTATTTCAGATTTAAATCAATCCTGTTATTAACTCATTTGGATTTCTGTACTCTGTTCCTGTAACACTTACTGTATACGCATTTCTGTAACACTATACGTAAACAATTACTGTAACACTTCTGTAACACTTTCTGTAAATTAACTGTCAAACTTACTAACACATACTGCTAAAAACACTTTAACACTACGTATAACTTACTGGTTAACAGGGTTTTTTACATCTTCTGAAATTGATTTTATGATGTACTATAAGCGGAGTTTATCTAGTTGCTGCTTTTATCTATGGAAAATATGTTCCTACTCGAAGTTATCGCAGGTCAAAGCAGCGCTCATGTGTAACTGTACTGCGCAAGCGACTTTAATTGCGCTAACCGAAATACAGTCAAATTTCTTACCTTTCTGACAGTTTTGAACAATCACCCTGAAACATTCTAGGATATGCTCTAAGCATCATTTAAAAGTCAGGTCCGCAGAATTTTAGATGAACAAATTATTCATTTTGAAAATCTTGGACTGTTTTTGAACATTTTTTGTAACCTTGTAAGTTGTAACCTTCTGTTACCCCCGCCCCCTTTGGAGGTTCAGATTTATTTCAGATTTAAATCAATCCTGTTATTAACTCATTTGGATTTCTGTACTCTGTTCCTGTAACACTTACTGTAACACTTACTGTAACACTTACTGTAAAACTTATTGATACATATTATTTTGTATGCAAGTACTCTGAATAATCTTGAAATTGAATACGATTTCTATTGTAAGTATTATGTCTCGTAAGCCCCCCCCCCCCCCCCCCCCCCCCCTTATTAAGATAGTAACTAAATAGCGCACCCTCAGGTTAAGAAGCTCTACTCACCCCCCAATATTGAAGGATATCGCTTTATTGGCTCTGGGTACGTAACTTTAACTCTCTTAATCAATGTTAATATTCTTAGGTTTAGAGAAGGGTAAGTACTACTACTGCTCTTTACTCAGGTCTAGAGAAGGGTAAGTACTACTACTGTTCTTTACCCAGGTCTAGAGAAGGGTAAGTACTACTACTGCTCTTTACCCAGGTCTAGAGAAGGGTAAGTACTACTACTGCTCTTTACCCAGGTCTAGAGAAGGGTAAGTACTACTACTGCTCTTTACCCAGGTCTAGAGAAGGGTAAGTACTACTACTGCTCTTTACTCAGGTCTAGAGAAGGGTAAGTACTACTACTGCTCTTTACTCAGGTCTAGAGAAGGGTAAGTACTACTACTGCTCTTTACTCAGGTCTAGAGAAGGGTAAGTACTACTACTGCTCTTTACCCAGGTCTAGAGAAGGGTAAGTACTACTACTGCTCTTTACCCAGGTCTAGAGAAGGGTAAGTACTACTACTGCTCTTTACTCAGGTCTAGAGAAGGGTAAGTACTACTACTGCTCTTTACCCAGGTCTAGAGAAGGGTAAGTACTACTACTGCTCTTTACTCAGGTCTAGAGAAGGGTAAGTACTACTACTGCTCTTTACCCAGGTCTAGAGAAGGGTAAGTACTACTACTGCTCTTTACTCAGGTCTAGAGAAGGGTAAGTACTACTACTGCTCTTTACTCAGGTCTAGAGAAGGGTAAGTACTACTACTGCTCTTTACTCAGGTCTAGAGAAGGGTAAGTACTACTACTGCTCTTTACCCAGGTCTAGAGAAGGGTAAGTACTACTACTGCTCTTTACCCAGGTCTAGAGAAGGGTAAGTACTACTACTGCTCTTTACTCAGGTCTAGAGAAGGGTAAGTACTACTACTGCTCTTTACCCAGGTCTAGAGAAGGGTAAGTACTACTACTGCTCTTTACCCAGGTCTAGAGAAGGGTAAGTACTACTACTGCTCTTTACCCAGGTCTAGAGAAGGGTAAGTACTACTACTGCTCTTTACTCAGGTCTAGAGAAGGGTAAGTACTACTACTGCTCTTTACTCAGGTCTAGAGAAGGGTAAGTACTATTACTCCTCTTTACTCAGGTCTAGAGAAGGGTAAGTACTACTACTGCTCTTTACTCAGGTCTAGAGAAGGGTAAGTACTATTACTCCTCTTTACTCAGGTCTAGAGAAGGGTAAGTACTACTACTGCTTTTTACTCAGGTCTAGAGAAGGGTAAGTACTACTACTGCTCTTTACCCAGGTCTAGAGAAGGGTAAGTACTACTACTGCTCTTTACCCAGGTCTAGAGAAGGGTAAGTACTACTACTGCTCTTTACCCAGGTCTAGAGAAGGGTAAGTACTACTACTGCTCTTTACTCAGGTCTAGAGAAGGGTAAGTACTACTACTGCTCTTTACTCAGGTCTAGAGAAGGGTAAGTACTACTACTGCTCTTTACCCAGGTCTAGAGAAGGGTAAGTACTACTACTGCTCTTTACTCAGGTCTAGAGAAGGGTAAGTACTACTACTGCTCTTTACTCAGGTCTAGAGAAGGGTAAGTACTACTACTGCTCTTTACCCAGGTCTAGAGAAGGGTAAGTACTACTACTGCTCTTTACCCAGGTCTAGAGAAGGGTAAGTACTACTACTGCTTTTTACTCAGGTCTAGAGAAGGGTAAGTACTACTACTGCTCTTTACTCAGGTCTAGAGAAGGGTAAGTACTATTACTCCTCTTTACTCAGGTCTAGAGAAGGGTAAGTACTACTACTGCTCTTTACTCAGGTCTAGAGAAGGGTAAGTACTACTACTGCTCTTTACCCAGGTCTAGAGAAGGGTAAGTACTACTACTGCTTTTTACTCAGGTCTAGAGAAGGGTAAGTACTACTACTGCTCTTTACTCAGGTCTAGAGAAGGGTAAGTACTATTACTCCTCTTTACTCAGGTCTAGAGAAGGGTAAGTACTACTACTGCTCTTTACTCAGGTCTAGAGAAGGGTAAGTACTACTACTGCTCTTTACCCAGGTCTAGAGAAGGGTAAGTACTACTACTGCTTTTTACTCAGGTCTAGAGAAGGGTAAGTACTACTACTGCTCTTTACCCAGGTCTAGAGAAGGGTAAGTACTACTACTGCTCTTTACCCAGGTCTAGAGAAGGGTAAGTACTACTACTGCTCTTTACCCAGGTCTAGAGAAGGGTAAGTACTACTACTGCTCTTTACTCAGGTCTAGAGAAGGGTAAGTACTACTACTGCTCTTTACTCAGGTCTAGAGAAGGGTAAGTACTACTACTGCTCTTTACCCAGGTCTAGAGAAGGGTAAGTACTACTACTGCTCTTTACTCAGGTCTAGAGAAGGGTAAGTACTACTACTGCTCTTTACTCAGGTCTAGAGAAGGGTAAGTACTACTACTGCTCTTTACCCAGGTCTAGAGAAGGGTAAGTACTACTACTGCTCTTTACCCAGGTCTAGAGAAGGGTAAGTACTACTACTGCTTTTTACTCAGGTCTAGAGAAGGGTAAGTACTACTACTGCTCTTTACTCAGGTCTAGAGAAGGGTAAGTACTACTACTGCTCTTTACCCAGGTCTAGAGAAGGGTAAGTACTACTACTGCTCTTTACTCAGGTCTAGAGAAGGGTAAGTACTACTACTGCTCTTTACCCAGGTTCAGAGAAGGGTAAGTACTACTACTGCTCTTTACCCAGGTCTAGAGAAGGGTTGAACCTAGCAAAAGAAGGGAAGTACAAGCCATGTGCTGGAGGAGTTTACAGTGCTAGACCCACTACCACAACTGTGTCTGCTACATTCCGACCAACTACTGCTCAGCTCCTTTATCAGCGTCAGGTTTAGTTGGAATTATTTAGTGTTTTGAAGCTAGTTGATACTGTTAGCTTAGTAACTACAGTAGTAGTAGTAATAGTACCATGCCCTAGTAGTAATAAACTGATATTCAGATCCCCCCCCCCTGATCGTAGTGATAACATGTCCTTTTTTCAGTTGAGTAAACAAGAGCACCGATCAAAGGACCGCAGTGATAACATTAGTGAGACTGGCTTTGATTCAGATAACGACCCCTTCAAGTTTACAGCTAGTAACTGCTCTAACGGACACTCTCCTGAGTTTGACAAGTTTGCTTATCACTCTCCCGAACATTCCTCATGCCACTCCGACACTAAACTTTCCGGAGAGATTAAGTTCTCGCTTAGTGAATCGAGCAGTGGATTTAGTGATAGGTCACGTGATAAACTGGATTCTCGTCATGTTAAAACAGAGCCAATGAAGGTTGAGAAATCTGACTTATGGATTCCTGAAATAAGAGCTGAAATAAGTGACAGCCCTAAACCTACAATTGTATTTTCTCCACCAATTGGTACAATGAGTGACACTCCTGGACTATTAGCTCCTATATCCAGCCCAACTACTAGTAGTAGCCACAGTAACATCAGTACTAATGTTATTACTGACATGCCGTTATCTGTGCCCTGTCCCTCCTCTAATATCCTGGACACTGATGGAGGTATCCCCAACTCACCACCTAAATCATCTGAAGAACAAGTTACCATAGCAACACCCTCTTCCAAATTATACCGTGGAAAACTCTCATTTTTCAAACAAGCCATTTCTCAGGAGATTTCAACCTTGTCTGAGAAAAAAGCATTAGCTCAGTTGACGGCTGAAGCTGTAGAAAATAAGTCGACTTTAGAGTTGACTGAACCGGTAGCTACTGTGGTAATGCCTCAGCTAGTGACTCCTGAATCTCCTTCTTTAGTTTCGGTTACAAATTCTGCCTCCCTGTCCCCTGTCCCTGTTGGTACCAATGCTATCAGATCTTCTGTTGCTGGGATCAGATCTCCTGTTGCTGATATCAAATCTCCTGTCGCTGGGATCAAATCTCCTGTCGCTGGGATCAAATCTCCTGTCGCTGGGATCAAATCTCCTGTCGCTGGTATCAAATCTCCTGTCGCTGGGATCAAATCTCCTGTCGCTGGGATCAAATCTCCAGTTGCTGGGATCAAATCTCCTGTTCACATCTCCAATATCAAATCTCCTGTCGCTGGGATCAAATCTCCAGTTGCTGGGATCAAATCTCCTGTTCACATCTCCAATATCAAATCTCCTGTCGCTGGGATCAAATCTCCTGTCGCTGAAATCAAATCTCCTGTTCACATGACCGGTCCAGTTCTGAAGTCTCCAAAGCTGGATAATATGACTAATAGTGTTACTACTGACAAACCTAACAAAGTTAAAGATATCACCAAGTCTCCAGTTCCCGCTAAAGAAAGGGTACCTCTATCAAAGGACTTGCCTACCAATGTAGTGAGAAATGTCGTGAAAAGGCCTCTACCTGTTCAAGCACCACAGAAAAATACCAACAATCAGAAAACCAAATCCCCTGTTACTAAAAATAGCTACTCTCCTGTCTCTGCTAAAAAGCCCCCTCAAAAAGTGGTCCACAGCATTAACTCTAGCCCCATTCCTTTCGTGATGAATGGCCACAAAGTTAACGTAGTGAAGATTGAGAAGCATCACATGAACCCACACGCCCAGATCAGTCATAAAGATCTCTCTGTGTTTAAGTTTACGAACGATCAGCCGCCCCAACACCCCGGCTATCCTATACCCTTCTCAGATTACATTAAAGTACAATCTCGCAAAAGGAAGATCAGCGGAGAATCCCCCAAATCGGACAAGACAAAGAAAATGGTTAAAACCAGCATACTGTCTCCTCCTCACCAGATCACATTTTCCCCATCTTCTCCCACTCATCCCCCCACTGAGATTGTTAAGGTGGAGAGTTCCGTACAAAACAAAAAAACTGCTCAAAGTCCCAAACTTTCTCATCCAGCCAAGTCCAGGAAAATAAGTGGTCATTCTGTCATGTCCACCACTAAGAAGACTCTTCACAACAAACTTTTGTCTCAACAAGGTCAAATAAAAACAAAAGTTTCGCGGTCTCAATCCTGCCCGGCAGTTAAAGAAGAACCAGCAACAGAAGATAAGGAAACAACTTCCCCCCTACCAGAAGCTACTGAGGAGACACCGGCTGTGAAGACTGAAGCTACTGAGGAGACACCGGATGTGAAGACTGAAGCTACTGAGGATGCCACAGTCTGTTCAGGCTGCCCAGTTAAAACAGTAGGGACCCCCACTCCTGTCATGCCCACACTGGATGATCCTAAGTGTTGTGTCTCAGTAGAGCCGTGTCCAGATGGGGGAGCTACTGTAGTGAGACTGAATATGGACGTGTTCAACACTCTCACTACACATCAGCAGCACCTCATAGTGGACTACTTCTTTGAAGTTACATTCGGAGAAACTAACGGAGTAGCTGATCATGTGATGGGCATTATTAGCAACGGCTCCCAAGACATGCCCAACGTTCTCAAGTACCTAGTGGACAATCAGCCCGGCCTCAAGGTTAAACACCAGGTACTGGGCAAGAAGGACGTGTTGAGCTGCACTATCAGCGAGTATTACGACAAAGTAAAGGACAATCACTCGCAGTGTATTTACCACGAAGGCGGACTACAGCATGTATCCTTAGTAGGAACTAAGAGTGAAGAGAGTGGTGCACTGTTCCCTGAGCTAATACAGCTGATGGAACTCAACCCTTTCTTTGAAGTTACACTACCCTGGGGCTCCTTGTCAAGGTACGATGGTCTGGACCCTACTATCAGCAATGATGGTCCCATATTCTGGGTGAGACCAGGAGAGCAGTTCCTGCAATCAACCTCGGGTTCCAGGAACCACAAGGGATACAGGCTTCTGAAGAACAGGGAGACTCTTGTGCCGGACAGAACCACTCCACATGCTGACCATTCCTGGGAGGACGGTAAAACCATTGCAACCACTGCTGCTGCCGCCTTCCTACAGACTGTTCAGTTTCCTGGTGCCCCGAGGGACGCTCAACAATCTCATTCTCTTAAAGATGTCATAGCGTTTGATGCAGCCAACTTTTACCAGCTTGCAGAGGAGCTGCAACTGGACCTGTACGAGCCGCCCATGACACAGTGTGATATATGGATAGAGGACGCTAAACTCAATCAGCTACGAGAAAGCAACGTTAAATATGCTAAAATACGGCTCAGAGCAAATGACATGTACTTCATACCCAGGAACGTTATTCACCAGTTCAAGACTGTGGCGGCGTGTTTAAGCGTGGCCTGGCACGTGCGGTTAAAAAAGTATTATGATTCCTGATTTATGATAGTGACTTTATTCTCTTTTCCTGGTTTCTAACAAGAAAGTGTGTACAGTAATATTGTCACCACGTTTTTATTGTCAGTTTCCTTCAGAGAATTCCATAGCATAGTCTAGCCGGTGATATTGCAGTAATTTTAACAGTACTAGTAGTGTACCACTAGTAACACTACTACTAGTAGTACAACCATTTTAACAGTCAACCTATTGAGTGTTCCCATTTTTAAAACATTTTTATTTATTCAAGCATTTGTGATAATTCAAAATAATAATTTATTTATAAGTTGTCTGAGTGTGTGAATACAATTTGTCACATGAAAACTAGAGGAGTAGTGTCACTACTAGCAGTAACTAGAGTTATAGTTTGTCACATTACTAGAGTAGTGTCACTAGTAGCAGTAACTAGAGTATTAGTTAGTCACATTACTAGAGTAGTGTCACTACTAGCAGTAACTAGAGTATTAGTTTGTCACATTACTAGAGTAGTGTCACTACTAGCAGTAACTAGAGTATTAGTTTGTCACATTACTAGAGTAGTGTCACTACTAGCAGTAACTAGAGTATTAGTTTGTCACATTACTAGAGTAGTGTCACTACTAGCAGTAACTAGAGTATTAGTTTGTCACATTACTAGAGTAGTGTCACTACTAGCAGTAACTAGAGTATTAGTTTGTCACATTACTAGAGTAGTGTCACTACTAGCAGTAACTAGAGTAATAGTTTGTCACATTACTAGAGTAGTGTCACTACTAGCAGTAACTAGAGTATTAGTTTGTCACATTACTAGAGTAGTGTCACTACTAGCAGTAACTAGAGTAATAGTTTGTCACATTACTAGAGTAGTGTCACTACTAGCAGTAACTAGAGTAATAGTTTGTCACATTACTAGAGTAGTGTCACTACTAGCAGTAACTAGAGTATTAGTTTGTCACATTACTAGAGTAGTGTCACTACTAGCAGTAACTAGAGTATTAGTTTGTCACATTACTAGAGTAGTGTCACTACTAGCAGTAACTAGAGTATTAGTTTGTCACATTACTAGAGTAGTGTCACTACTAGCAGTAACTAGAGTAATAGTTTGTCACATTACTAGAGTAGTGTCACTACTAGCAGTAACTAGAGTATTAGTTTGTCACATTACTAGAGTAGTGTCACTACTAGCAGTAACTAGAGTATTAGTTTGTCACATTACTAGAGTAGTGTCACTACTAGCAGTAACTAGAGTAATAGTTTGTCACATTACTAGAGTAGTGTCACTACTAGCAGTAACTAGAGTATTAGTTTGTCACATTACTAGAGTAGTGTCACTACTAGCAGTAACTAGAGTAATACTAGTTTGTCACATTACTAGAGTAGTGTCACTACTAGCAGTAACTAGAGTATTAGTTTGTCACATTACTAGAGTAGTGTCACTACTAGCAGTAACTAGAGTATTAGTTTGTCACATTACTAGAGTAGTGTCACTACTAGCAGTAACTAGAGTAATAGTTTGTCACATTACTAGAGTAGTGTCACTACTAGCAGTAACTAGAGTTATAGTTTGTCACATTACTAGAGTAGTGTCACTACTAGCAGTAACTAGAGTATTAGTTTGTCACATTACTAGAGTAGTGTCACTACTAGCAGTAACTAGAGTATTAGTTTGTCACATTACTAGAGTAGTGTCACTACTAGCAGTAACTAGAGTATTAGTTTGTCACATTACTAGAGTAGTGTCACTACTAGCAGTAACTAGAGTATTAGTTTGTCACATTACTAGAGTAGTGTCACTACTAGCAGTAACTAGAGTATTAGTTTGTCACATTACTAGAGTAGTGTCACTACTAGCAGTAACTAGAGTATTAGTTTGTCACATTACTAGAGTAGTGTCACTACTAGCAGTAACTAGAGTATTAGTTTGTCACATTACTAGAGTAGTGTCACTACTAGCAGTAACTAGAGTATTAGTTTGTCACATTACTAACCACTACTCCAGTGGTTACTTGTAATGTTCGGTAATTTTATGTGAACAAAGTGTCCAGAAGAGAAATAATAACTCATAGTAGAGTAGTCAACAAAGCAGTGTTAGTATTATTACATACTGTGATGTGTAGTAGTGAGGGGAGTGACACCCCCCCCCCCCCCCCATTTTACATACTGTGATGTGTAGTAGTGTGGGGAGTGACACCCCCCCCCCCATTTTACATACTGTGATGTGTAGTAGTGTGGGGAGTGACACCCCCCCCCCCCCCATTTTACATACTGTGATGTGTAGTAGTGTGGGGAGTGACACCCCCCCCCCCCCATTTTACATACTGTGATGTGTAGTAGTGTGGGGAGTGACACCCCCCCCCCCCATTTTACATACTGTGATGTGTAGTAGTGTGGGGAGTGACACACCCCCCCCCCCCATTTTACATACTGTGATGTGTAGTAGTGAGGGGAGTGACACCCCCCCCCCCCCCATTTTACATACTGTGATGTGTAGTAGTGTGGGGAGTGACACCCCCCCCCCCCCCCCCCCCATTTTACATACTGTGCTGTCAAATGGTTATCACCCATATTATATTCGATAGAATTGTCACATCGATTCATCTGTATTATGTGTTTAGCTCACTGTCTTAATAATTAGAGTTACTTATGTTTTGAAGTTTGAATTGTACAGATCTGCACTTACTACTGTTGTATGAGTATCTTATTAGCCTGCATGGCACAATTATTTAATTACAAATTATATTATCAATTAATTATATCATTAAATTATTTTGTCGTTAGTCCAGTTTAAGAACATCGAATGGATTTCGGCCAGAGTATTTAATATGTGAAGCAAAAGTTAAGCTATCCGTTTCAACTGATTGAAGCTTCATATATTCAAGTTAAACAAGTGTAATCGGTGTTTGTTAGTTGAGTTGGTAATAATGGTAACATACCGTTTACCAGGGCCATATGTTTTATTTATACTGCTTTAACATCGCTATGGTTAATGAAATACTGAATTTGTTCAGAATTTCCTTATTATCGATAATCTCTGCTAAATTGGTCTATTACTTGTAGAGTTTCGAATCGCGTGTATAATATTGCCATTACAAGCTCCAAAAGGTTCTACCGAAACATGACAAGTTAGTGATAATTGCATTATGTCAGCATTTAGCTCGCGCGTCTCTAGCTCGCGCGTCTCTAGTGTAGCGTATTTATTTCTCAGCCACTATATTTTCCGGCAGCACTTATAATCAGTAACCACTACTATTTAATTGACGATGTCAATTCATCTCAGCTCGGCGTGGCACAGTAGCACATCTCGCCGATCTAGTGAGAAGCCTCATTGAGTGCGCGGCGCGGCACAGAAACGCATCGCGCTACAATACTATTACATAGTATATTAATATTTAATGCTTTTCATACAATAAAGTCACCAAGATGTAATTAGATTGAACCGGTTCGATCTAGGAATTGGATCGAACGCGCGGCGCGGCTTTCAATGTATTTGTATATGTATCTCGCGCCAGCGTTCGATCTAATTCCTAGATCAAACCGGTTCTTGATTCACGATGTCAATCCTTCGCATCTCGCCGATCTGCATAAGGTATGGTTGCGAGAAGCATTACTGGATGCGCGCGCGCGACCCAGTAGTGCATCGCGCTACAAACCGGTCCGATCTAATTTTTGCTTTCGATCTAATTACATCTTTGTGACAGTTCATGTATTGTATCCATATCCTGGGTTTGGACAGGATATTACCCGGTTAAAATATTTCTATCGCGTTACTTAATCTATAATACTCATGAATCAATAATACTCATGAATTACCTGATGAGATTGATGTGGTGTTGATGGACACGTTATTAGAATGGAGCAAAGATCTTAGAATATAAGAGTTTAGAAACCTTTTGTCGAAATCAGTGAGATTAATGGTGGGGACTTTAACTTAGGTTAACTGAGCGTGCTAAATCACTCTACACTTACAGTCGATCTTCGAGATTGTTCTAAAAGGCCCCCGACGGTTGTAACCAAATTCAATCGATGTATTTTCGGAAGCCGATTCCGAATCACCTTCACGACATAGGGTTAAAATGCTCCCCTGACGAGATATTGGCGAAAAACTGTCTCGATCACGTGATATGACCGTATAAGGAAGTTAGTATAATTTCTCGTCAGGGTTTCAGCATATTTCTTTGTTAAGTATTGGGTTAGGGTTAGAGTTGGGATCAGATTAGAGGGTTAGGGTTTCGAAAAGTCGTTCAGAACCAGCTAGAGAACGGATTGAAACAGTCATATCACGTGACAGTCGAGTGTATATTGATTAATCATTATCCCAAGTTGACCAAGCCTGATGTAATCCGTTATCTAAATGATTCGTTTCAAATCGATGATACTTTTTTAGACCTTGTCAAGAAATTGCGGAACGAGTACATTTTAATGCAGAGCAATCTCATAAAGAATCAGAAAATTTGAAAAGTATTTAATTAAAAAAGGCGCTCAACCTGTCATAATTCTGACGAATCTTTATGATTGTGAATATAATAGCCTGGGATCCCCAGGTAAAGCTTTCGGACTGTAAAACTGAACAACTTGAAACATTGAAGAACACCGTAATTGTTAAGACATTTGATTCACGATGTCAATCCTTCGCAGCTCGGTGAGGCACAGTGGTGCATCTCGCCGATCTACCGAGAAGCATTATTGGATGCGCGCGCGCGACCCAGTAGTGCATCGCGCTACAATTAAGACATCGGTTGTTGACCGAATTTCAAACGTATAGAGAAAAATTCACAGCCAGGTACCATCACACAGCAGCTCGGAAACGCTAAAGCCGTAGTACATACATATTGCATTACCTGGGGATCTCAGGCTATCATGTACATAAACATAGAATAGAGATTCGGCGGAATGACAGGCTGAGCGCGGCCCAGTAAAGGCATCAACGAGCTGGGAAGGAATATTGACATCGTGAATCAAAGAAACGCTTACTACTACTCCAAAACCAATTAGATCTTTCCAATGATGTATAATAGGTTGGGATTTGAGACATAAAATATTCACCCGCAAGCCCAGAAAACCTTGCCGCCTGCTGGGCTCGCTAGAGGTGATAGATTTTCAACAGCACGTTTGTCGTCGCACGTCACGTCAAGTTTACCTTTCTCACGCTGTATTTAGCCTCGTATTCATGACAACGACATTACTTTGCAAAGTTTAAAAGCTGTGATCGTTTATTTAGCCCAAAATCCAAATTTGGCTCCTGGGGAGCTAACTTTAAATTTACGAGACGGAAATTTTGTTGAAAACCGGAAGGTTCTATTTATTTTACTTTTGGAGGTATACACCAGTCAGTAGGGTTTGCTGGGATCATCAATTAACTGACTGATTGGTTTGTGGGCAAAAATTTCATCCAATCTGTCAAATGTGCGTTCAGAAATTTTCACATTT